TGCCAAGTTCATAACCACGATCTCTTTTGGACCCTGTGATGTATACAGTGCCATGGCGAAGAGTCATAGAAAACTAGGATCTATGGCAACACCACTGCTTCTCTGATTTGGAAGCAGGTTTTACCTCCCTAAGCCTCAGTTTCCTCATCTGTAAGGTGGTTAATAATTGCACCTACCTTACAGTGTGACTGGTAGAGTTATATATAATTTCTGGTAAGTGCTTAGCACAGTGCTTTAACATAGTAAATGCTCAGTGAATGTTAGCTCTTATTATACAGTGGGGACTATCGGCCCCATTAGATGAAGGTCAGACCTAAAATCAGAGTTGTGCTTCATGGTTGGATTTTAAAGTTCTCATGGTCCAGTTTTAATTACCGGTAACGACGACAGTAGCAAACATTTAATGCTATAACATTTAATAATAAGAGCTAGCTTTGTGCTTGGCGCTATGCTTAGTGTTTTGGAGTCATCACTTCTGTTTTTTTTTTCTTTATGCCTCTCCCCCCATTCTGCCCCCTGGTGTGTGTGTGTATATATATATATATAGCCCACAAGGCTCCTCTGTCCATGGAATTCTCTAGGCAAGAATACTGGACTGGGTAGTTGTTCCCTTCTCCAGGGGATCTTTCCAACCCAGGGATTGAACCTGGGTCTCCTATATTGCAGGCAGACTCTTTACCAACTGAGCCACTAGGGAAGCATATATACATACATGTATACATACACACAATAATTTTATTTTTTATTTTTATTTTCCCTTGGCGTATTTACATGCACAGTCTGGCAAGATATGGGGTGAATCTTGGGCTCCAGGATACGAAGTCTTTGGAAGAATTATTTGCAAGTTCATGACAGCTGCAGATCAGAGCCACGTCTAAGCAGCTCTGGCTGTAAAAATACAACACTCTAAACAGGTGGTGGAAGATTTTAAATAGAATGAACTTCTCATAGCAACATGACTGCCCCCAGGAGCGGGGGGGAGGGGGGGGGGCCTTCTCCCTGCAGGACAGAAAGGAGCCAGGAAAGAAATTAGGCTGAAATAGAATTTTGTGAATGTTGGCAAGTTAGCAAGTACAGCCACACGGACACTTGGGGCCTATACACATAAATTAAATGAGTGATGTTTCCTAATGTAAGTGTCTAATTTCTGGAAGTCACTGCAATGGTTGTGATGAGGTCTCCAGGAGAGAGTGCCTACCTGTGGTCCAGGAGATTTTTCTTAGTCCATTCGTACTTATTCCAGAGAACTTCCAAAACAAAACAAAATCACTCTCTCCTAAAGTTACAGGCACTCAAGTTCCCTCTGATTAAAACAAATAACAGCAGAAGGTTAAGTGTGACTACACCTATGTGTGTGTGTCAGGGGTGGGGTAGTATGGATATTCATTGTGCTCATCTCTCAACATTTCTGGATGTCTGAAAAATGTCATTATAAAACATGTTGGAAAAAAGGAAAATAACAGATTACCAGAAAAATAAAAGAACAGAAGTAATCTCACAGAAAGAAAAACCCAGTACTTTAACTGGAACACATTTACCTTTATGAAAAATTCACTTCTTTTATACACTTTTCTCACTTTCCCATGGAGGATCAAAACCCCCTGGACATCCACTTGAGATCCAGCAGTGGGGATCCCTGTTCGGGAAAGGCAGCTCGTGAGGTGGTGGGTTGAGAGGATGAGTTTGGGGTAAGTGACCTTGTTTGTGTTCTATTCCAGACCTTGCTGGCTTTTGCTCACCCAGTGACCGTGGACATGCTACTTCAATTCTTGGTGCCCCATTTACCTCCTCTGTAGAAACTGGGCTGATAATCATGGAATCAGGTAAGTGACTTGGCCACTGTCACACACAGCTTGCAAGTGACAGTAACCGAGTTTGGTTCCCAGGATAAATGATAGAAAAGCCTGTCACCAAAACTCTCCCCCATCTCCACATACCTCTAGGTCTTGGTTGGAACTGCTCTCAGAACCCTCATCATTCTTTGTCTGTTGGTTTTATTCTAACTGACTGATTTCTGGATGCAAGAGGTATTTCATTTTTCTTGACTTTTCTAAGAGATTTAATACAATTTTTTGTTACCCGTGAGTTTGAATGAATGATCGAAATACAAAAACACTTTCTAACTAAGTCCACATTAACCAGGATGGTTTCCCCTGAGAATCCTGTTCAACATTCTTGCTTATTAATTATAGCAGGTTTGCAGAATTGTTGGGGCATTTGTGTGTCTGAAGGGAAAGGAAATGACCATCATCCTAGTAATAACAATGAACTAAAGAAATGTAGCTCTCAGGAACGTTACAATGAAACTTGTGCCCACTGTATGAGTAATGCCAAATTGCTTTCGGCAGAAAACTTACCAGTCTTCTGTTTGTAAATTGTCAGTTATCGCAGAAGTCAGAAAGAAAACTTCAAATGTAGAAATCCTTGTCTCAAATTGGGTTTTAGCCCTAAAATTGTGGGTAATAGCACCATCTGGTGTGTAGTTGTATAACCACACAGTGAATTTTTTTTTTAATCAATGTAATAATCAATTGATTCAGCTGGCTTTACAATAAGAAACCATTCTTTAGGCTTTTGTTAAGCACATGCTGAGGATCTTGGCTCATTCCCAAGCTTAAGACTCTGCAAACCCATAATAATCTTTCAAGCTAAACGGGGTTCACTCTCTGACAGATCCCAAGTCAAGATCACATCCAAGCTGAAGTCCAAGGGGAGCAGAACTATGAATAAAGGAAGCTAGTAAGGAAACAGGAAAAAAAAAAAAAAGCTTGCCCATGAACACAAAGCAGGAACAAGAGACTGTGAAACCCATGAGAGAAAAAATCAGGATTGTCCTTGGGCTCCTGCAGGTCATGACAGTATTCTAATTTAGCTCATTTACATCCTGATCATAAACTTTTGAGTGAGTCTCTGCTGCTTGCAATCTAATAAGCGTAACTAAAACAACATTAGTTTCAGTGAAGTCCAAAGACTTAAATAGTACAAAGACTTTAGTCCAAATGCTAAATCTCACTTGCTTAACTGCACAATTCCCCAAATGCCTGAATGTCTTTCTCCACTGACCTCTGATCAAGGCCAACAGAGGCAGGAAGAGAGGAATAAAATGAGGTCATTATAACCATTTGGGACCATGATGGGTAGTCTGGGCCACCAGCCAGACTTGTCAGCTCCTGTCTTTCACATAAGGATGGTCCAGGAATTATGATGCTAGAGAACTCAGCAATCAGAACTGGTAGGATCTAGATACCACCTCGTGAATCTCTGGCCAGAAATGGGCTCTTAAATGCCTTCAGTAAATCTCATCAAATCATCAAATCAGCATTTGACTCACAGGCCCGTAACTTCCAGATTTACCGTCAGTGCAGATCAGCCACTCTTAACTCCAGGAACAACTGGCAATCCCCGGAGACATTTTTGGTTGTTGCAGCTGCAGGAAAGGAGATGCTACTGGATCTAGTTGGTAGAGGACAGAGCTGCTGCTAAACATTCCACAGTGCACAGGAGAACCCTGCAACAAAGAATTATGGGATCCCCAAGTGTCAGCAGTGTTGAGGTTGAGGAACCCTGGTGTACGTGGCAGAGAAACCTAGAGGAAGTTTTAAAGTGGTAGGAAGAGCAGAGGTTCGACCGAGAAGTTGAGAACCCTGCCAAGGGGAGTACTACCCAGCTTGGAGAAGACACCAGACTATATCACCATCAGTGGAAGATGCCAAGTCATGGGCAACAGGTGCCAATAGAGGATCTGATGAGGGAAACCTGAGATAAGTCTAAGCAGCAGGTCCTTGAGAAGCTGAGCTATAAATGATGATTGCAGAAACTGAGGCTAAGGAGATTGATTCTATTCATCCCCTTCCTCACCACTAAGGGATCTGGGGATCTAATTCCCTATTCACATCAAAGGAATAAGTTGGCTTGGGTGACAGGGGTAAGGGGTTAAACTGGGATGAGCAGAAGCGGTCAGATTAATAGTAGCTCACATAAATGTACAGGGATTTGGAAAGAGTGATGTGGTGATGGATCTGAGATGGGATAGTGGGTCTGTGAAAACTAAAACGTGCTTACCTTAGGTTAGCTTTCAGTTGGGTAACTTCCCAGGAAAGCAAGTCTCTCTCCTAAAGAGCAGGCAGAGCAGGAATCCCAAAGCAACATCAGTTCCAAGACTTGAAGATAAAAGTCCTGATAAAAGGATTTGAAGATAAAAAATAAAACTATCTTTGCCCCATTTTCCTCACTTTAAAACAAGTGGAGTCTTGCATTCTTCTGTAAACTAGGGCCAGAGAAATCACAGTCAGATTTCCCTGTAATGTTCAGCTTAGGAGCAAGTTCTAAGCAGGGAATGTCCTGGAAAAGTCTATAAACGGCAGGCATTTGTAACCAACAGAACCATGCTGGAACTGGAAGAAACTTCTCCAGGACTGGGGCATCAACAGGTGCGTGGGAATTTGCTTTTTTATAGCGTAGTATAGCGTTGAGTTTACACGCATAACAAAATCTGTGACTCAGGCTGGGAAAGCTCTGGAAGGTTTCTGAGCAAGACCCTTCACTTCCTGCCCTTAACACCAGACAGGCAGCGTACCCTTAGAAAGCCAGCATCACCTGCCTCCTCCCTTTCCCGCGCAGTGTGCTAGTCCGGCCAGGTCCGGGACTACATTTCCCAGGATGCCCAGTGGCGGGAGCGCCTGCGGGATAGGCCAGAACCACGCGGAAGTGATTACGGGTCGCCCAGCAACGGGGGCGGAGCCCTGGCTCGGGATTGGATGCTCACGCCCCCGGCCTGGGGCGGGGCGGGGTTAGGAGCTCGGCCCCGCCTCCGGAGCAACGGGGCGCTCGCCGGCTTTTACTTCCAGCCGAGCGGCCGTGCGCGCCGCTTCGCTCTTCCCCCTGCGTTCTCCCGAGGCCCCGCCCTCCTTTGCTCCGGCAGCTGGGAAAGTGCGGGCCCCGGATTCGGCGGCCCGGGCGGCCGAGGGGCCCCTGGAGGCGCGGTGCGCAGGCGCGAGCGTGCGGGACGCGCGGCGCGCGGTTGAAGCCGGAGTGAGTTCCTGGGTGCGGAGACCCGGCGGCCGGCGGGCGAGCGACCGCTTCCCCCGCAGCCATGGCAGCCCTACGCTATGCGGGCCTGGATGACACCGACAGCGAGGACGAGCTGCCCCCGGGCTGGGAGCAGAGGACCACCAAGGACGGCTGGGTTTACTATGCCAAGTAAGGGGGGCGTCTGGGACGCGCAGAGGACCCTGACCGCTCCGCGCCCCGGGACGCGCGCTGCCTCCGGACCCCTGCCCGCGCGGGGAAGGCCTGCGTTGTGAGGGCTGCCGGCCTCCTGAGGACGGGCCCCATCCTGCTTTCTGGCCCTGCTGTCCAGCGTGGGGTCACCTGGCGGCGCCCAGACACGCCCTCTGCTGCACAGGAGGCGGCAGTGCCCGGCGGTGCGGGCATGCATTCGCTTGCATCTCCTTTCCCCAACATCAGAAAAAATGAGCACGCTCCGCTCCTTCTCAGGGGTCTAGAAGGGCCGCCTGGGAGTGTGTATTTGCAACAGACGTCCTAGTAGAGCTGTGTGTGTGTGTGTATGTATGTAAGTATGTAAGTAAGCATGTATATGCGTGTATATAAAATGTAGCTAATACAGCTTTACTGTAGTTCTCGGGAAAGTTTTGAAAGCCCCAGGAGGCCCTCTCTCCCGCCTCTTACTGTGTGCCCTTGGGCCGTGGGAATAACTCTCACGGGTTACTCATCTGTTAAGAGGTTGGTTGGAGAGTTTTAGTTGAGGCCTGAACAAACTCTGCCGGGTCCTACTCTTGGCAGCTGACAGCACCGTCTCGGCCTGACACTAGAATCACTTGAGGACCGTCATAACTGTAGATTTGGGGTCTCAGCAGACACCCCACGTAGGGACTGTCTTTCTTTTTTAAGCTTCCAAGCTAAGGCAGGTTATGGCTTTGAGAAACACGGAAGTAAATCAGTGATTTTCTACTCTTGGGAAACTGACCGGGCTCTGCTCCCGGCTTTCACCAGCGGGTGATTCTTCTCTCTTCATTTGCTTGCTCCGCCTCCCGTCCCTAGTGGTAGTTTGTGAAATCTTTCCCAGGTGAATTTGATCTGCCCTAGGTTGTGAGCCACGCTGGCTGCCTTTGGTGGCTTTCTAGGCAAGAAAAGCAGGAGGAAAAGACCTTGCTTCACTCTTTGAAGACACGTTGGGAAGGTATCCTGCGCCAGGCCCTTTGCTGGCCGCTTGTTTTACTGAGATAAATGAGACCGCTTGGTGGGACTTACACTTGGTGGTCCAGTGGTTAGGACTAACATCCTGCAAGATGCCTGTTGTGGCCAAAAAATAAAAAAGGTGGTCCGTCCTCACACAGTGTGTGGGATGAGTGGCAGTGTGCCCAGCATGAGCTGTGTGGGCAGGTGGTGAGGTGCCCGGGGTGGTTGGCCCCTGAGCCCTGCCTCAGGGCACAGGTAGAAGTGGGCGGGTCTAGGGGCAGCTCAGGTAGAAGAGACCGAGGCCCGGCCTGTGCCTTGGTGGTGCAGGAACCTGAACCCCGGTGAGGAGGAAGGGCCCTGCTGTGCCTCAGAGGAGCTGGGCTCCACGGTCAGGACCCCGGGGTCCACTGAGGCCTTGCGGCCAGGCAGTGAGCTCGGCTGTGTGTCTTTAGAAGGACGATTTCTGCTCTGAAGGACGGGAGGGAGCCAGGGCTCCGGGCGGCTCCTGGATGGGCATTGGCTGTTGCCGTGGCCTCTGCCTGAAGGGCTCTTGATGCCTCGGAGCTGACCCTCAGCGTCTCTGCCCACGAGGGCGTCCCCGCGCACGGGCCCTGCCCTCTCCTCCCGGCACCTCGCGCTCCCCTGTCCGTAGTTCTTTGCGCTCCACTAGGCCATGCCTGCGGTCTGGCCCTGCCCAGACTGTCCGCGTCATGAAGGCAGGGACCGTTCCTCGTTCCCCTCCGTCCCCCACGCTTAGCATCACGGAGGTGGAAGACCAGTCCACAGGGAGTAGGGAAATGAGCTCATCAAGCCAAGGTCTCCCGGGCCTCCCTGGGTGGGTGGCCACAGCCTTCTGGGCTGTGAAGATGCACAGGGCCTGCCTCCTGGGTTCCGGGGCCTCCCCCGCTCTGGGTCAGGCCTGTCCCCACTCTGGCCTCTGTCCCCAGAGCTCCCTTTCAGCTTTCACCTGGGGCCTCATGCTCGGTCTGGAGGCTCCTGTGTCTATGGTCACTTTGCTCTCTCCCTGAAAGGTTGTTGCTGAGCCGTGAAAGATGCCAGGATTCTTGGCCTTTGGAGGAGAGGAATTCAATCCGGGGCCAGTGATGCCGCTTGATAACTCAGAGCTTTTGTGTGATAAAGTTTTATTAAAGTATAAAAGAGACAGAGAAAGCTTCTGACATAGATATCAGAAGGGGGCAGAAAGAGTGCCCCCTGCTAGTCTTTAGCCGGGGGTTCTATGTCTGTTAGAAGCTATTAATCAGGTAAGTAGCTCAGACAGTGAATCATCTGCCTACAGTGCAGGAGACCTGGGTTCGATTCCTGGGTTGGGAAGATCCCCTGGAGGAGGGCATGGCAACCTACTCCAGTATTCTTGCCTGGAGAATCCCATGGACAGAGGAGCTTGTTGGGCTACAGTTCAGGGGGTCACAAGAGTCGGATAGGACTTAGCGACTAAACCATCGCCAATCAGATAAGGGAGACCTCTCAAGGCTGAGGGAGTTTCACTAGGCCCCTCTTCCACAATATGCATTTTTGAGATAGGATGGCATGAGGCGTTCATCCCCCAGCCAGAAAACAATTGATACGAATACTGGTTTGTTGAACTGTTATCAGCCCAAGGTTTGAGAAAAGAAAAAAAAGTTAGGCTTAGGTGGAACCATTTTGAAGAAAGGCAAATTCCAAATCAAATACATAGTTTCATTAACATAGCTTAAGAAAGACATTTCGTAAGAAAAACGCATTGGTGAGCTCAAGGTTTGAGAAAAGTTAAGTTCAGGTGGAACCAGGTGGTGGTGTGGCAACACAGAATTTTAAGAGAAAAAGATCTGACACTTGTAGTTTGTTTCCTCCTGCCGCTTAAGGGAGAGAGAAAAAATGTCTGCTCTTGCAGCCTCTTCCCTCCGCGTGGGGACCCCTGCCTGCCTGCCCATCTGCCTCTCACCCCCTGCGCCCCGCCTTCTGCTGGGGGACCTCTCCCTCCGCTTCCTTCCTGGAAGGTCCCTACCTCCTTCGCTCAGTAAGGCCTGCAGGCTCCCGCCGGCTCCACTGACGGCTTCCAGGCGCCCACGGGTGGGGGACTCCGTGGTGCCTGTGTGGTCCCTGGAAGACACCCAGGGCCCCCCGGTGGTGTTTGGCCCTGCTGACACTGACTGGGGTGATAGAGCTTGGCAGGCTCCCAGCCGGGGTGGTGGGTGCCTCTCTCCAGATGCTCTCCTCTCCTCCCAGCCCTCCGGTCTTTGCTCGGGGTGAAGGATGCCCAGAATGACCCCGGCCCTGCATTCCCAGCAGTCCCCCTGGGCTCTGCCAACCTGCAGGCACCCTGAGCCTTTGTTCACTCCCAGTTCTGGAAAGTCACTCGTCCCTCGGGGTTTGGGGAACCTGACCGATCTCTCAGAAGGTTGCCTTCGGAGTCCTTCCCTTTGCCCAAGGCCTTCCTCCCACTGCTGTGGGGTGCCTCCCACCCCAGCCAAGGACTGAGGCCGCAGCTCCCAGCCTGACCTCTGGGGTCTCGTGGGAAAGCCCCCCGCAGCCTCGCTCTTCCTTTCCCGTGTGGGTTCTGTCAGCCCCTCGGCCTCCCCACTAGCAGACCTCGAAGGCTCACATGCCCCCAGGGAGGGCCAGTATTGTGGCGGAGGGCAGCCTGGTCACCAGAGTGAGCTGGGGGCCTTGCTCGCTGCCCTGACACCATCCAGGGCAGTCCCTCTGCCTTAACCTGGGGCGGGGGCTCGGTGCTGGGGGCCCTGGTGCAGTCCCAGGGGTCTTCGGGGCCTCCGCCCCGTCCCCCTTTGCTCCTGAAGAAGGATGGCCGGCCTGCCCAGTGGGAGGAGGGTCCCTGTCTGCAGGAGGCTCTGGGTCTCCCTGTTGAGCTTCAAAAAAACCCCAAAACCTTAGAAGAGCGTACTTGAAAGTGATAGCCATGTAATGTGGTGTGAATTTAATTTTGATCCCTTTGTTTTACATTAAGATCAGTGTTAATTATCTCTTTAAATGACAAAAAGAAAAAGAGAAAGCTTGCTGAACGAAAAGAAAAATAAAAGAGGACATCTTTTTGAAGGAGAATAAGATAACAGTGGGGACATGTTGTAATCTTCTGTTCATTAAAAAGTCATTTTAGGTTACAGTGGAAAGGGAACAGCTTTTAATTAACTTTTATATGAAATTTATTTCAAATAATCCTTTTCTGTCAAAGGCACAGTTCTTAGTTCTTCACACATGTAGACTGACTGAGGCTTCTCTGACCCCAGGAAGTGGGGCTGTTATTACTCTCTTTGTACTGGTGGGAAAACTGAGGCTCAGGGAGGTTTAGTAACTTCTCCAAGGGCACGAGGCTGGTGAGCGGGAGGACCAGAAGTGTGGGCGTCAGGACTGGGACCCTGAGTCTGTGGGAGATGAGGGCAGTGTCTGCAGAGCCTTGCCGTTGCCACAGCTGTGTTGGCGTCTGGTGGGTAGAGACCAGGGATGCCGTTCATCACCCTGTAGTGCCGAGGATGGTCCCTGCTGCAGAGCGTGCGTGGTCCCCCCCGTTCAGGAGTGCCGGCGCGGGAGCAGGGTTACCCTTCCTAGGGAGTCGGGGCTTCCTCTCTCCTAGCAGGGCTGCCCATGCCCTCTGTGCAGGGATCTGACCCATCACCAGTCGCTGGCCCGGGTCCAGTCTCTCAGCTTCCCTGTGCTGCTGGGGAGACTGGCTCACTGGATGTATGCAGTGCGGGAACTCGGGTGTGTGGCCTTCTGAATTCAAAGTCCACAGTGTCCCTGCGCTGGCCACTGAGAGTTTGCAAAACACCAGAAGCCGGCAGTTCCTAGAAAGACCCTGCTTTTGAGATCAGCATCTTCCAGGAGCATTTACTTGCTCTCTGCATTTATTCTCTTTAAAATAATGGCTCCAGGAGTACTGTTCTGTCATCTGGTTGTCAGTGATTTAGTGTTATTTTCTACTTTGGCCTGAGCATGTGAACTTGGAATGCTTCTTGCAACATGCAGCTTTTTCTGGCATTAAGTAATTTTATGTTTTTCTTGACACTAGGTCACCTGTTGACAGGTGTCTCTAGTCTGTTATTGACTTGTGGTTTGAATTTGAATGATAACTGTATATGCTCTCCTGAGATGAAAGGCTAGTTTGGCATGGGAGTCAGACCAACTTGTATATTTGATTTGTTCAAAATAGTAGACCTTTTTTAGGGCTTTTTATATGTCAGATACCGTGTCCAACCCTTTTTGTACAATATCCTCATAACATTCTCCTGAGATCAGTACTAAGATTATTTCCATTTTGCCAATGAGGAAGTTGAGGCTCCAGAGCTAAGTAACCTGACCTTTGGGGCTATCTTACCACTTCTTAATTTCCTCTTGGATGAAATTAGGAATCAGCACTTAAAAAACACTTTGAAGTTAAATCTAGGGACAGAATAAACATTGAAGAAGATTTGCGACTCCATGGACTGTAGCCCACCAGGGTTAGGGCAAGAATACTGGAGTGGGTAGCCTTTCCCTTCTCCAGGGGATCTTCCCAGCCCAGGGGTTGACTTGGGTCTCCTGCATTGTAGGAAGATTCTTTACTGTCTGAGCCACCAGGGAAACCGCTAAGATTAAGGTTGTATCTAAATTATATCTACATGTCAGCATTATAAATTAGACTGAAAATTTTCAATCTATCCCGGAATAAAACTGAAACAAGTACAAAGCAGAATACCTCTCTATAGATATTTTGAGATATTCAGCGAGATTTCTAGAGTTGACCCACAACCGGGGTCCCATCTTCTTCCTCTGTCTTCACCACCGGTTCATAAATGCAGGCTTTTACCAGACTGCTGTTGCTTGCAGCCTAGAGAATTTGACCTGTTGCAAATAGCTATCTTATGTTCTGAATATTTCTTTGTGAACGTCTGACTTGACTACTCTTGAGAGAAAATTATGTTGGGGAGAGAAAAGTCTAATGGATTAATTTTAGAAGTGTATTTTAGAATTTTAGAAGTGTAACTTTTCTTATTGTTCTCTGGATTTTTTTTTTTTTTAACAGTCACACTGAGGAGAAGACCCAGTGGGAACATCCAAAGACTGGGAAAAGAAAGCGAATCGCAGGAGGTTTGTATGTTGTTGTCATAAAGCAGAGAACCTTGTGTGTTAGGCATGGTTCACATGGGGACACAGTCACAGGCAGAGGGTCTGCTGAGGAACTGGACCTTCCCTCTCAGGAGCTTGTAGGATTTGGTAGAAGGAAGTGATGAGAGTTTTGAGTGGAGCGCTGATTTCTTACTGGCCTTAAAAATAAAGTGTTAAAATAACAGGGCTCTTGAACTCACAGTTCATTAGGTCTTTCCGTGGTTGCACTGTTTGTGAAAATGTTATTGGTTCCTATCCTGGAATTAAACATACCAGTGTTTGATAGAATTCCACGAAGCTTCTGGTGACTTGTAGGTGTTTCTGAGTATGTGTGTCATCCATGGAGTAGAAACGTAAGAAGGTCCCTGCGCTCAGGAGGTTGAGGGTCTATTTGAAAAGACAGCATGTACCCGTGGAAGAAAAAATGAAATTGCTCTGTAATAGGAGTCATCACAAGTCAGAATACAAATGGTGCTGGCTGCCTCCTGTAGTGTAGATACATTCTGGGAATTCATTCAAGGGAGAATTCATGTTGATTAGAGCAACAAGTAAGGATTTCGTGAAAAGCAGGAGCTGAAGGGAGTGTTGAAGAATGATGAAGAGTGAAATAGTCTTAAAAATAGAGTGACCATGTTACCCAGCGGTCCCAGTCCTGAGCATATACCCATATAGTACTCTGTTTCGAAAAGATACGTGCACCCCTGTGCTCATTGCAGCAGCATTCACGATAGCCACAACATGGAAGCGACCTGCATGTTCCTCAGCAGATGAATGGACAGAGGTGTGTGTGTACAGCAGAATCCTGTTCAGTCATAAACAGAGTGAAATGTCATTTGCAACAGTATGGGTGGACCTAGGGTTTGTCATGCTAAGGAAAGAAGTCAGAAAGAGACAAATAGCACGTGATATCATTTATATGTGGAATCTGAAATATGACACATGAACAGGACTGTGAAACAGGCTCACAGACATGGAGAAGAGGCTTGTGACTTCCACAGGGAAGCTTGAGAGGAAGAGATACACATTACCGTGTATAAGATAGATGAAAAAGAAGGTCCTACTGTGCAGCGTAGGGAACTGTATTCAGTATCCTGTGATTAAACCACAATGGAAAAGAATAGGAAAAAGAATATATATATATATAAAACTTAAGTCACTCTGCTGTACAGTAGAAATTAACACAATATTGTCACTCAAGTATAAATCAATAAAACTAAAAAGAATGAAATAGTCTTACTTTCCAAGCAAGAGACAGAAATGTGGAGTCTGGTTGGGGTAACAGGCCTTCTGTACCTGCCATAGTTGGAACCTGCGACCTGCTGGTCCGGTGGGACACTGGGACTGGGACTGTGGCTGAAAGGGCGGGGCTTCAGTTCATCCCACCCCTCCCCCAGGCAGACCTGTCTTCCTGTTTTTCAGATTTGCCCTATGGATGGGAACAAGAAACTGATGAGAATGGACAAGTGTTTTTTGTCGAGTAAGTGTCTACAAAGAAACTATTCTCGGCTTTCTTGCTTTTGTAATAAGTGTATACATTGTAGAAAAATATTATGTAGTATGTAATTGTAATCTTACCAGCAAGAGTAACTACTGTTAACAATTTTTGAATTTTTTTCTTCGATGTTTTTTGTACATATACTTAAAAAAAAGAATATTGGGTGAACTGTTTGGTTAACTATTTTTTGGCACATAATTCTTGTGAGCATTTTCTCATATCCTTAAAAAGTTTTCAAGAAAATGATGTTTATTTCCTTGTATTGTATATTGTATCATTTTGTATAGATATACTATAATATATCAAATTACCTACTGAGCATTGATGCTGTTAAATTTCTGTGATGTGGCATCCGTACAAGCAGACCTTGTCATATTGCACTTCACAGATATTATTATTATTATTATTATTTTTTACAAATTGAAGATTTGTGGCAACCCTACCCTGAGTGCCTTTTGGCCCCATATTTCCAATAACATTTGCTCAGTTAGTGTCTTTGTCACATTTTGGTGATTTTTGCACTATTTCAAACCCTCCAGTGGCATAAAGGTTATGACTCACTGAAGACTAAGATGATGGTTAGTATTTTTTAGCAATAAAGTATTTGTTAATTAAGGAATGTATGTTTTTTTAGACACGATGCCATTGCACATTTAGTAGGCTGTAGTGTAAACGTAACTTTCACATGCATTGGAAACCACAAAATTTGTATGACTCAGTTTATTGCATGCAACATTCATTTTGTTCCATTGGTCTGGAACTGACCCCATTATGCAACATCTCCAAGATGTGCCCATAATTATAATGTTTTGAGCATCCTTGTCTGTAACACTATCTTCAGAATAAATTACAATAACAAACAGCAACAGTAACCATGTGTCTAGCACCTAGCATGATCCAGGTGTGTTTCTAATTACCTTATACCTGTGGTGTTAACTCATTCAGTTCCCAAAATGCTCTAAGGCAGGCCAGCACTCAGCTGCCTGGCCAGTCATCGCCCCGCTCTGATCCTGTTAGAGTGCTGATAGACTTAGCAGCAGCTCCCTGTGGGAGGAGCCCAGGCTTGTTTCCATGGTGTGAGGACTTCTGCCATAGGTTATTTCTGGTTACTGGGATGGAGCCGCTGAGGGCCTGGGAGAGGGATGCATGTTTGTGAGCCAGGGTGACCAAGTCTCTGGGGAGCTCTGTCGTCTGCATGGCTGGAGTCAGAATGCTTACCTGGCAACTGTGGTTAAAAGTCAAATGGAAGTCGGATTATTCTCGGGTCTTAGTGTTTGTGGGGTAAAGAGTATAGATTTTTAATCTATTTAGTTTTACACACATATACACATTACAGGTACATTTTTTCAACCTATATATATATTTTTTCGCTGCACTGCAAGGCTTTTGGGATCTTAGTTTCCAGACCAGGGATCAAAATCCAGGCCAGGGCAGTGAAAGCCCCGGGTCCTAGCCACTGGGCCGCCAGGGAACTCCCACAAATACATTTTCCGTTGTGAAATCTTTCTTTCTGGAGAGTTCATCATAGCTTTCAAGATACGTTGAGGCGTACCTCGAATCCCAAGGTTACATTTAAAATGTGTAAAGCAAATCCTATTCAGTGGGAGCAACCAGTCTTTCTGTATGAATAGGATATACCAGTGTGTTTTAATACATCATTTACAGTATCGATATATTTAATTGTTGTTTCTACAAGATTTAGATCCGCTCCAAATCAAAGTTAGAATGTGCGGGTATAGTCTTAAAATGAAAATGTTTAGAAATTTTAGTAGTTGACCACTTTCATATTTATTGTTGCAGCTTTGAGTTTCCTACTCAGAATCTTCTTCAGTTCAGTTCAGTCGCACAGTCGTGTCCGACTCTTTGCGACCCTGTGAATCTCAGCACGCCAGGCCTCCCTATCCATCACCAACTCCTGGAGTTTACTCAAACCCATGTTCATCGAGTCGGTGATGCCATCCAGCCATCTCATCCTCTGTTGTCCCCTTTTCCTCCTGTTCCCAATCCCTCCCAGTATCAGGGTCTTCTCCAATGAGTCAGCTCTTCGCATGAGGTGGCCAAAGTGCTTAGGTCCTTGAATATAAAAGATTTAACTGAAATCTGCCGACAAGAGTGACTGGCAGATCTTACAGCCACGTTTGCATGGCTTAATTAAAGAGCACCAAGCCTGCTATGTTTTTGAGACCCGAGGATACAAGGCAGCGCTTATTGTACATTACAACCTCTTTTACAGGCAGTTCCAAAGAAAAAGCTTGGATGTCTATCTTCCTAGGCAGGACAGTAATCCTGGAGCCCAGGACATAGATCAAACAGACCCCAGGTCTCTCCAGGGTTAAGAAAGAGCCTTTCTAGTCCTGAAAATGGAGTTGCCTCGCCTGCACCGGAGGATGGTCCTGTGGTCGTCAGCGCCCCCGCCCACTGCTGTGCGCTCACTGCCTTCTCCTCTCCTCTCTAGCCACATAAACAGAAGAACCACCTACCTGGACCCCAGACTGGCGTTCACCGTGGACGACAACCCCACGAAGCCGACCGCCAGGCAGAGATACGACGGCAGCACCACGGCCATGGAGATCCTCCAGGGCAGAGACCTCAGCGGCAAAGTGGTCGTGGTGACGGGGGCGAACTCGGGGATCGGTGGGTGTCAGCTGGCAGCCGTGACGGTTGCTGCTGTTCTGTCGCGTGCACGATGAGATCCACTCTAGCCGGGGGAAGTTTCGTTCAGTGATTCTCTGATTTAGAAGATACTTGTAGGCTCTTCAGCCTTCGGGTCATTAAAGTCCCGGGGGCTTTTTTGGTCCCGGCGTTTCTGCGGAAGGAAGGCCGCGGAGGGGCTGACCCTGGATTCTCCGAATGCCGCAGTCATAGGAGACAGTGGTTATTTTGGCTCTTGAGAGAGGCGGCAGGCTCCGTTTGGGATTTTCTGACCTGGTCTGCGTGCTGTGCAGACACAGTGCAGTCACCTGGTCCCTTGAGCCTGACGTTGGTTGGTAGCGGGCTCTCGGAAGCTGCAGTGTGTGGTGCTTGTGGGACAGGGCACAGCGGGTGGCCGCTGGTCCCGAGAACATCCCTTTCCTTGGAAGCAGGATCTTGTTTCTCTGCAGAGCAGCAGAATCAGTCCTTGTCTTGACCTCTCGGTGGCCCGTGGTGCCCCACGGTGACCGTCACGAGGGCAGGGCTCCCGGGGGTGTCACAGGCTGGAAGAGAAACCGCGGCCGCGAAGATGGCCCCGCCGTCACTCCCCATGTGATCGAGTCTCACTTGGGTCTGCTGACGTGAGCGTCTGAGTCTGTAGGAGCCGCTGCCCCGAGTGAGGACACGCAGCCTCAGGTTAGCTTACAGGAGCGGGACCGGGAACTGTGCTCAGCTGTCTTCTGGCAAGCTCTCTGTCCTTTGACCCTGCGCAGCACCGGCCCCCTTCCCGCCCTGCCTCCTCCCAGCCGCCTCTCTGACCAGCTCTGGGTCCTCAGCCTTCGGTGCCTCTCCAGGTCTTCTTTCTCCAGCTTCCATAATTTTTGGTGACCCCTTCTTGAACTCACAGAAACATTTCCTGGTATCATCGGGGCAAGTCCAGGTGGTGACATTTTCTTAGAGCTTCAGTTGTTTCAGAGTGCAGGGTCAAAAATCTAACAAGCTACAGTCCCAGAGCAGAACTTCTTTTTTTTTCTTTTGAAATAAGACTGGACATCCTCCTTTAATTTATAGTTTTATTTATTCGTTCATTTGCTTTCTGGTTGCCTTGGGTCTTAGCTGCTGCATGCGCGCGGGCTGTCTCTGGCTGTGATGAGCAGGGGCCGCGCTTCCTTGCGGTGTGCAGGCCTCTCACGGCAGCGCTTCTCGTCGTGGAGCACCAGCTCTGTGGCATGGGGGCGTCAGGAGTTTCGTGTGGGCTCAGTTACTCTATGGCAGGTGGGGTCTTCCTGGACCAGGAATCAAGTAGGTGTTCCCTGCGTTCCGAGGCCAGCTCTTAACCAGGAACGCCTCAGAGCAGAACTTTTGACTGTCACATGTCTATTAAGACAAAGAAGCAAATGGAAACTTTTTTTTTTAATTGAAAGGGACTTATTTAAAAATCAACTCTCGGACCTCATCTACCTCATCTTGGACTGAGAATGTGTTCAGTCCAATTTTCTGAATCGCATTGGCATCAATTCTACATATTTGTCATCGATAGAAAAACTGATGATGCTATATTAAAAATAATTGCTAGATCCTCAGTTATCCAAAAAACACTGTGTCGTGTTGATTGTGTTGACCACTCTTTGTGAGGCTGTGGACTAAGATAGCATAGAATAATTAAGAAAAAAATAAGGACTTAAGCCAAATCTGTGTAACACTCAGTTACCCAGAGAAGTAACCAAAAGATCTCATTCCCTTAATCTTGTGGCTGGACAGTTTTTCCCTCCATTAGTAAGGCGTGACTCCTGATGGTCTGTGTGTTGGCTCTGTCTGACACGTGGCACGCCTTCGCGTCTGGGGGAAGCCCTGCTGACAGTCTGCCACAGGAGGCTTATGACGTGGCTGTTGTTAGTTAGTTGCTAGGTCGTTTCCGGCTCTTCTGAGACCCCATGGACTGTAGCCTGCTAGGATCCTCTGTCCGTAGGATTTCCCAGGCAAGAATACTAGAGTGGACCCTTCCCCTGAAGTTTCCTTCTTCAGGGCATCTTCCCGACCCAGGGATCGAACCCACGTCTCCTGCTTGGCAGGCAGATTCTTTACCACTGAGCCACCTGGGAAGCCGTAGTACGGGACCAGAGGGGTTGGTCCGGAATGTATGGAGAGCTCCGTGCGGTGGGGTGTCGAATCGTGGTTGGAAGGGAGGAGGAGGTTCTGGAGCATGGGGAAGAAGCATGCTGCTGGCCAGAGCAGACCTTGGGCCTCTCGGAGGGGACTCTGGCTCTTCACAGCTCTGACTCTTCCCTGTCCCTGTTCTTGAGTTGTCTTGTGAGCCCAGCACAGGGGTCCCTGTGGGCCGGTAGCATGGGGTGGCGAGTGGTTGCGCTCAGGCTGGGAGGGAGGTGGGGAGGGTCTCAGGGTACCACGCTGCCCCCCTGTCCCCAGCTCTGACCTCAGTTGCCTTCAGCTCTGCCTCCTCACCCTGGGGCCCCTCCACCCTTGAGAGGCCCAAGTCTGGGGGAGTTCCTGAGATTTGTTTTCTTAATTTTGTGAAATAATATTGGACCGAAGATCCTTGCAAGTAACTGTCACACTGCGGCCCCGCCAGCAGGCTTAAGAGAGAAGAGCTGAAGGCAGGCCTGTGGCTTTCCAGTCGTCTCCAAGGCGGCGTTGCTACCCTGTGCCACGGCCATGCAGTGTCCCTGCCCTGGGAGGTGGTGCCTTCCAGGGGGAGCCCTCCCTTCTCCTGAACTGTGAAACACGCCAGTTTAGACCTTGCTGTCACCTCTGTTTCTGCGCCTTCACGCGGAACCATGGAGAGAGCGCGACCTGGGCGTCTGTGTTTCCAGCGCTCCGGGCACTCAGGACTCACCTTCTGTGGGAGCTTGGCTGGTGCTGGCCTGCCCTTGCCCTTGTCACTCAGCGGGGCCCGTGACCCACTTGGGAACTGCCCAGTCTTCAGCCTCTTGGAGGTCTGTGCTCTTGGGAGCAGAGGTGGCTGTCACAAAACATACCAGCCTTTATTTTGAGAGTGGTGACTCCACAGCTGAAAACGTAGGTAACCTGATCAGTTTTACAAAGGTTGGTTTACAGATTCGGTGTTTTCCCGTGATGGTTTGGTTGAATTTCTGACGGGACACTGCTCTCTTGGACTTGTCCTCTGGGGACCCAGGCCCCTGGCCATAGGAAGGTGATGATAGCATCCCACGTGTCTCCTGGGGACGCCCCACCAGTGCCCTCTCCCCCGGCTCTAGGGAGCTGCAAGCCTTGGGACGTCACCTCCTCTGGAACTCACCTTCTCCTCCCCTCGAGCTCTGTCTGAGCACGATCTGCACCCGGAGGCCTTTGTAGATGGAGCGCTGTGGCTGTGGACCGCTCTCTGGAGCTCAGCACCTCAGTGTCCGGGCCAGTCCCCCGTGCACCAGAGCCGCTGCTCAGAGACCCTGCGGCCGGAGCCTGGTTCTGCCCGCTGACCCGGAGAGACGAGGCGGGAGGTCGTTTCTGTTTGTGCTCCGTGTAGTGCTGGCCAGGAAGGGGCAGGCGTCCGTAGCTCCCTGGAGTCCATGGTGCGACGGAACCGATCTGGTAAAAGAAATGAATGGAAGTGGTGTCAGCGCGGTGATGGTTAAACGAGACGGCGTCTCCCGCCAAGTCCTGGGAGAGGGGGTTTCAGAGACTGGGGTCTCCCATTGTGGAAGATCCCATAGCTGCTTCTCGGGACTCAGGCCTTTTGGTCGAGCTGGTTGTTGGCCCCTGCCTGTCAATAGCTCAGTGCACACTGCTGCCTTCTCGCACCTGAGGGCTGCCCGTGCTCCTCAAAGGCCAGACCCTTCCAGCGCGGGGCTGCCTGAATGCCTACGCGTGGGGCTGTGCCTGCCCTGCGCGCTGTCTCTTGTGAGCAGGCACGTTGGTTGGAAGTCATGTGGATGGTTGCAGGGGGCAGAGTTATCATCACGGCACCTAAGGAGACAGTTCCAGCTTCTGTCACAGCCACTGGAGAACTGTTAACGAGGGTGTGCATGCAGCTTCGCTATTTTCAGTCTGCTGTGCACTGGCGATGATGAGGAAACTTTCTTCCCGACTTCAGCTTTTTAAAGCTTTGTTTCGTTTTGGCTGTACTGGTTCTTGATTGCTCTGCGGGCTTTGCCCTAGCTGCGGTGCACGGCTCCTCATTGTGGTGGCTTCTGTTGTCGCAGAACATGGGCTCTAGACCCCTGGGCCCAGCCGTTGTGGCTTTGGGGCTCTGGCGCACAGGCTGAGAGCTGTGTCCACAGGCTTTGTTGCTCCACAGTACGTGGGGTCTTCCCGGACCAGGAATCGAGTCTTTGTCTCCTGCTCTGGCAGGCGGATTCTTTACCCCTGAGCCACCAGGGAAAGTCCCCAACTTCCAGTCTTAAAACCAGCAGTGGTTAAAATTTGATTTTTAAATCCCTTTTGGAGTGTAGTCAGGGTGAAACATTTCTTTGACCTTGATAACGCTGGGCTGTCTCAAATGTTGTGACTTGAGATCTGGAATAGCCTGGCCTGCTTTTGATTTTTGAGTCAGAGGACCCATTAACAAGAACAAAACTGTTTTTTCCCCCTGAACAAATAGAAGCTGGCCACCTCAGTATATGCCAGTAAAATGTATTTTAGGACCGACACGTCCATTTTCTATTGATGTTTATGTTATATATGATAAATCTCCTTAAGGTTTATTACAAGAATTCTGATAATGTGTGTATATGTGTGTGCATACTTATATACCAAAATTTATATACTTTGAGATATGAAAAAAAAGATGTATGTTCACACTATCAAAGTCAACCCCAAATTTGTTCTTGAAACAAAATGGAGGTATCAGATTTCCAGCCTGGAATCACAGAGTGCTGGAGTTGAATGTTGAAACTAGTTGTTTTGGTTAGAGAGCCTGTGTTTTAGAGCTTGGGGTCCTGTTCCAAAATCATGTGTTGAAATCCCAGTGTGAAGTGTACTCACTGTATTCTCTTATCCTACAAATCATCACCACGATGAATTCATCTCTGGCATAAATTCTGCCAGTTGTACGGTGATACTAGAAGAGTGCTTTTCTTCGTGT